TAATCTGAGCAGCTTGATTAGCCAGAGTGAGATTAGAAGTTGCATTTTTGGCCTTTAAGCATATGGTGTAGCATATTATATATCACTTCTCCATAATCTCTACAACAACATGCCTATATGAGCAGTCTGGTTTACACCAGTAGTACAAAGAAAAGAATATAATTTCTTGAAATATTTGTCTGTAACTAACAGAAGGACAAAGTTGGACAAACGCTACTTCCCAAAACAGAAAACACTTTGCTTTATCAAAGTAACTAAATGAATACTAAATTAAAACTCATGTCTTAAAGTAATAGTAGAAATTAAGTGTTGAATCATGATTAAAGGGAATCTCTGTGTCTGTTATTGCACTGTGCTGTATTAGTTCTGTTGTTCCTGTCACACTATTTCCCTGCTGCTAAAAGATTGCGTTAAATAGCAATATGCACTGTCCATCCCAGATATCTTTAAATACTCCTGTTCAGTACTTGATGAAAAGCTTACAAATACCACTCAATTCATTGTCAGTTCTTTTTAACACCATAAAACCAGAAAACTTTTCAAAGGCTATTATTATGATAGACATTATACATGTAACCAAGGCTTGAATTCTGACCAAAGCTGGCATTTCAATGCAATAAATAGTTTCTTATGTTAAAATAACTGTAAATAAAGATATTTTAGAGAGGATAGATGTGAACAGAAGAAATTTATCAAGAACCTACAATAAAATATTTTCTATTAAGTCTGTTAAAATGAGAGCAGATACTGTAACATGAGAACAGATTTTGCTTTTATTACACAAGTAGTTAATTATCATAGTTACATTTTTCAAGTACCAAGAAGGCAAAGAGGTCAGGACTTCCTTTGTCTTCAAATTTTAAGCAAAGAATAAAAAGATCTGGGAACCGGTAGTTGGCAGACCCTGTTAACAAGAAAATAATGTTTTATAGTGTAAATGTCATCTATAGATTGTGACTGCTATTTCCAATTCACATTTAGTGAAGAAAGAATTGGACTGACACTATGTTAAGAACCGTTCCAATCTCCCACACATAATTGGGATGTTTAATTAAGTGACGCACTTAATATACAAACCCAGCACGTTCAGAAATGCTCCAGCTGAACTGGATTGTAAAAAGACTGTGCTTACGTAAAGCAAAAATTTTGGTTCATTTTCATAGCTCTTACAATAATTCTTTAGATGCATTTGAACAGAGACATTATCTTTGCATTGTCTCATAATTACTCTTTTGACCTCCTCAATGGCATATACTTTAAATTTTAATATAAGCACATTTATAATTTATATATGTTTATGATTTTTATATAATTTTAGGAAGACAGTTATGTGATGGTTACATTGTTGTCATAAATAAATATAATTATATTTAATATCACTTACCAATAATAAGTGCTATTAATTGTAATTCCACTCACCCCATTCTAGTGTAATATCAAAAATTTTTTTAATTTAACCACTGACTCATTGCAAGACAGTTTCAGAATTTTCACTCTTTCATTTTAGAATCCATAACCCTATCTTTATATCCAATTAACTGATACTTCTTGGTGCACAGAGCAGCATATCAGGTTTGTGGTTAACTCATCTAATGAAATAATAAATAAGGGTAAATGGAGATCCTTGTCTGGTCCATCATTAAGGAGAATTTTAAATCTGTCAGCAAAGTAAATACCAAGAGACAAAAAAAATCTCCCAACCAAAGATGACTCTATTTCCTTTCTTTATGTTGAAGATTTTAACTGATAAATAACATTCAAAACTGTCTATTCCTTCTGATTTCATTTGGTGGTAGAGCCACTGAACTTTTATTTGCCTTCTCACCAGAAAACATCTGAAGTAAGTTCTCCCTCCCCTTCTATATCATACGTCTAACTTGTGATCCTTATTAGAACATTTGCATAAATCAAATTACATATCCAGTGAAAAATATTTTCATAAGTCTAACACTGAACTTGCTAAGGTATATGCATTTCAAAAAATTATCCATAAATTTTCATAAGGCTGATACTGATTTTGTCTGTTTAAATATTGGTAAGTAGTATAAACTCTACATTTTTGTATGTATACAGTTAATCTTCATTCATTTTTATCAATGAATTCCTAGAGTTACTTGTGGTAGCAAGGAAATGAAATAGGACAGTAGCAAAAAAATGATGAGGGAGGAAAAAAGGAAATGTGTCACTTAAAATGAGTCACTTAAAAATAGAGGTTCTGCATTTTTCAAATTGTAAATGCAGTAGTCTGCTTATTACTGATATTTGTTGTAGAAAAAACTAGTTTTTTGTTTATTAAATCATTTAGATTTTTAGTAATCTCCTTAGTTTGGGTGAACTTATATATGTGTATTTAGAGATGATAGTATTAGTTTATTTGTAGTGTTAGAAACTATCAGAAGTGTACTTGTGTCTTTCTATTTATATAATTAATTTTAATTTCTGTCTTTTGTACACATAGAAGTAGAGTGTTCGTGTGTGTTAATTGACTTATCTTCCTAATTATTTTTATATCTATATATTGTCAGTTTCAGATGGCAGTTTCCTAGAAGGTAGACCAGAATCTTATTAAAATTTTTTAAAATCACATAACATGTGATCACTTAATACATGTGATTTTAGGATGATAATGATGTCATGGTTGTATTTAGGTCATAACTATAAATCAAAAGATACTCAAACCATTTTAAGAGTATAAAAATCATCTAACTTATGTAGTGTAAGGAAAATATATTCTAAAGAAGGTGAACATATAAAGCTTGCTTAAATTTGCTCATATATCAAATCGATCACAATAGGAACAAATTCTAGAGTCATATGTATAAGCAGTAATCTGTCAACTCGCAGTGGCTTATGGCATCTCTCCATTCATAGAACTTTCCCTATAAAGTTCATTTATCATTCTACGTAAAGTATTTGTACTTGTAGGTGTAGGGATAATTAAGGAATAACATAGGGACAATTAAAACACTCTATATACTGAAAAAATAAGATGCTGTTAGGTGAGAGAAGTGTGACAAACTTCTTATTTATGATTAACTTTATATAGGGTATATATCTCTCTATATATATTTATCCAGGTATATATCTGTAAACTCTATATCATCTATCTGTCTATCTAGACTGACAGCTTTTTAAAGTTTAATATGTCTGTCTTTCTCTGTCCCTTTCAGTTTGATTTCTTGTTATTTGGAAACAGTATGAGGTAAATGATTGTTGGAAGAAAAGGCCTTTTTGTAGATTGATAAATTCTTTTCTAACTACTTGTTCTAACCATTCTATTTGTTTATCAAAGAACAAGTGGTTAAGTAAACTGACAATTTTATAAAACAGCCAGACACTTGAAAAAGCCATTGGTGAATGAATTTTACAATAAACATTTCAGAATGCTTTTTATTATAATAAATTCAAATATAGTAATTTATAGGTAAGTCGGTATGTTCTTTAAAAAAAGGAAATATTTTAAAAAATCATTGAATTTCTGTCATGTTTCTTTTTCATGTTAGACAATTTGATCTAATTAATCTGAATATGTTAACATGGAGAAAAGACATAGCTATTTTTCAGTATTAAATATGAAAGGTTTTGATTTATTTAGTTCTTTATTTCTTTTTGAAGAGAAGAATTAATCTACCTTGAATTTCTGGGTTTTTTTTTTTTTCTGCTGCTTCTAACCTCTTTTCATTATTAATTTCTCTTTTCTTCATTACATAAAGTGCCACACTGGAAAAGTTTGAACTGCATTCAAAATTGACTATTAAAATCAGTTGTGAATCATATCTATTAATTTCTTTTGGTTTTCAAAGACATGTTGCCTAATTAATTTGTTCTAAAACAGTATTTATATAAATACTTGGTTTTATTTACAGTAAAAGTGAATTGTTTTTTTCCAGGAAAGTCATTGCTATTTCAAAGGTTGCAAATTTGTAAAGTTAATAAGTTGTTTGATCACATACTGGTTAGTACAAATAATGCCTCAACAAGTGTTACTGCCTTCTATCGGAGCATGGACTTCAGGTTTCTATACCAGGTTTTCCGATCCCCACTTTTGCCATCTTCTTCCTGTTTTTCACACCCTTTCCCTCTTTCTCTAGGGCTTTCCCCCCAGCTTGTCCTGTTTTTATGTTTTCCTTCCTTCCTTCCTTTTTCTCATCTTTATCTTTTTCTCCTTCCTTATTTTTTATTCTTTCTGCCTCTCATCCTCAGAACCCTGAAGAAAGAGGAAGTAGTGGAAAAAGTTTTAAGTAAATTACTTTATTTTCAGTTTAATGAACAACCTTTGAGGAATTGCTGAATTTTCGTACTTTCTGGTATAAGCTTAGTTGCTTGAAATAAAAAAGTTTAAAGAAAAAGCTAGAATACTAGCTTTATGAGAACTTCTTTCAGAGGACCTCTGTATGTCACTATTTTTCTAGATACACACACACACACACGTATGTCTCCTGTATGAATTACCATATATTCTCATATGCTAAATTTTATTCCTATATGTATTTTCTATTTATTATGTATATATGAAATTTTGAAAATTGTAATTATATTTTACAAGTAAGTATACTGTACAAATATTATTTTTACTACTTTAGATAACATTTATATACATATTTTTCAATTCTTTAATCTTTAGTATTTATTTTAATTATAATTTAAGTCATTTCAAAAGGCTTTGTGTTTATAGAACTGATATTAATGAGATGATCAATTATGAAATATTGAGAACACTGCCATGTAGTTGTTTATTTTTAGCTATAGATATTATAGCTGAAATTCAAATAGCTAAGCATGTTAAATAAGAGGTATAGAGTTTGATAAAATTTTATACCTCTGGAAAGCTAGTATCTACGTTTTGTGATACTTTAGTACTATTATTAAGTAGTTATATTAAATGTGACAAAAATTATTGACCAATGCTAAAGAATTTATGAAAGATAACATAATATTTGTGAAATCCATTAACAGATATTTGGTTATGACCACTATTTCTCTTTCTGTTTCTATGCAAGGTGCCTGTGTCAGTGGCCATGATGACTCCCCAGGTGATCACCCCTCAGCAAATGCAGCAGATCCTTCAGCAACAAGTCCTGTCTCCTCAGCAGCTCCAAGCCCTTCTTCAACAGCAGCAGGCCGTCATGCTGCAGCAGGTAATGTGGGTTACCTGCTTTGGTGTTCTAGCATGACTTAGAAGGTGTGCACTTATGTTGAAAATGCAGTGGGCGTATTTGACAATTCAGTCTCCATTTGAAAGGACAACCTATCAGCATGCTAGAACATAAATATAACATTTTAATTATAGAACTCATAAGAAAATCTAGATTCCTTAGTTTTAAAAAATTCATTGAAGTCTAGAATAAGAGAACAGAAAGGTGTAATTTGAAAATGGAATAAACTAATATTTAAATATTCAAATGCTTAGGTCCGTTTGATTTGTGACTTGCCGACAAAAATGCAAAAATACTTATCAGATAATAGTTGCTTTTAAAACGCCTAACACCTTAGCATTCCTTTTATTTCACAAAACTATGAAATTTGAATTGACTACTTTGTTAAAAATGCAGAAAGTAAGATCCCAAATATTCCTTTTCAAAATATACTCATCATTTAGAAAGGGAAGAATCTATTTATTATAATGAAATTAGGCAGCTGAGCCACAAATTTATGAAATTTATCTTTTCAAAATAACAAACATAGTGTTCCTAATATATATATCACATTGGAACCATGAGTGTATAAAAGTGGAGTTTGTTATACACCTACTTATTATCATGAAAATAATGTGATTTACCTGAAACTTTTTAGTATATAATTACTTTGCTATCTTCTGTGCTGATGATTACAGACCAATTACTTGTAAATCTGACATCGTTCTCAACATCTGATGGATTAATTTTTTTCCCATAAGAATCGAGCAAACTGATTTTATGTAGCTAAATTTTTATTCTTACAAGTAGTAGAGTATAGCCTAGTTTTTATATGCCAGTAGGACTTCAGTTGTAATAATTTAAAGTATTAATTTGGCTCTGACCCTTTAGAATACAGACTTTCTATACCCTTTTGTTTAGGATTTTTTGGATTCTGGATTGGAAAATTTCAGAGCTGCCTTGGAAAAAAATGTATGTAGAGCTGTCTCTTTGAATCCAATGCATATTTTTTTGTTGTTTTTATGAGATGAATCTTAATGGATACTGTGCCATATGCCAGTCTAGAAGAGTTTAGGAGATTTATAATACGTGAAACTTTTGCCTTTATTTATTAAAGTCAAAATGGTTTATTCAGCAACAACTACAAGAGTTTTACAAGAAACAGCAAGAGCAGTTACATCTTCAGCTTTTGCAGCAGCAGCAACAGCAGCAGCAGCAACAACAGCAGCAACAGCAGCAGCAGCAACAACAACAACAACAACAGCAACAGCAGCAGCAGCAGCAACAGCAGCAGCAGCAGCAACAGCATCCTGGAAAGCAAGCGAAAGAGGTAGGATCCGGTTATCTCTTTGATATATAACAGTTTGCAGTTAAGAAGGGGCATTGAGCGGCAAGAATAGTCTTAGATCTTTCTATAACAAGGCTCTTGGTGTCTAAGTTGCAGTATTATATATTTTTACTGAGCTTAGTAACAGTGACAGGCTCTCAGGCTCTCCTTTTGTAGCATGGGACTTGAGAGTTACAATCTAATGCTGCTGTCGTCTAATGTTCACTAATGAATCACAGTACAAAGAGCAAGCTGTGTGGTGGACAAAGTACTGATTATCTCGTATTCATGGAGAATCTAAGTTGGTGAGGGAACCTTATTTTTCTCAGTGGTGCAGCTCAGAGAACATGCATGCAAATTTGGCCTATTGTTGGGGGTGGGGAGACTAGGAGAGAAACTGGTTGAGCACAGATTTCAAAGTCACAGGCCCCTGATTAATGAACTGCTACTGTAGGTTTAGAGTGGCGAGTAGAAAGTTACAGTTTGATATGCTCATAAATCAAACTGACAAGCGGGCTTCTCAGGCCTAGCTTGCACTTGTCAGCAAACTGCATCAAATATAAACATAATACAAACAAAACATGTTGAAGTAGTTAAATTGATCAGCAGGTATCAGAGCCGTTGTCTTCAAGCTGCCCATTATGCAAACGTACAGGAAACAGTTTTGACCTCCTGAGGCTTTGTTTCTGTTTGGATTTGTGAATAGAATTTCAGACAGCCATCAACTACAGAATAGAAATTGCTCCCTTATTTCTCCGGAGGCTTTGGGCAATCCACATGACTTGCTCCATTATGCAGTCTGTTTTCCAGTGAGCGCATCAGAAGTTTCTCTTTTCCCCAAACTAAAAAGGAAAGGTCTTCCACAGCAGCTTGTCTTTCTCTGAAGTGTGACTGCCATCTCCTACCCTCTGGAGTCCAAAGACCTCTGGTTTGTCTTGTAATGCCTCACAAAATTGGAAGTTAGACTTTTTCTTATAATAAGGGCACTTTTTTTTGCCTTGAACATAATTCTGCCTTTAATATATTCCAACAAGAGGGGAGAAGAGAGAGAGAGCTAACAGGCCTATCCTACGAAGCTACATCCCAGTTTACTAATAGATCACCAGAGACCACATTCATGGACCTCTGCAGATCAAACTTATTCAGTTGGAATAAAAAAATAGTGTGCTGTAGAAGTTGACTATTTCTTTAAAGTGGTGTTCTTTTAGTCTAGAGAAATTTATTATCCACAATAAGTAGATTTTTAAAAGCTGAACCTTTATTACATACTATGGGTAGACCTTGCTCCATACTTTTTTTGATGCAAGTTCCTTGGTTCTCTAATGCTGTTTAATATTTGAAAGAAAAGCAACTGAAAATCTAGAACTTACTCACCTTCTGCCCCTGAACTTTGACTATGGGATGACCAAAAAACCCACTCAGGCAATGAAAGGAGTATGCATTTCTCTGTAAGAGAGCTGTTTGTACAGGCCATGTTCTCTGCTGTTCACTGGGTTGGGTTTTCTGATGCCAGCAGCAGCAGCAGCAGCAACAACAACAGCAGTTGGCAGCCCAGCAGCTTGTCTTCCAGCAGCAGCTTCTCCAGATGCAACAACTCCAGCAGCAGCAGCATCTGCTCAGCCTTCAGCGTCAGGGACTCATCTCCATTCCACCTGGCCAAGCGGCACTTCCTGTCCAATCGCTGCCTCAAGGTACATACAAAATGTTGTGCACACTTCATTTCAAATTTTGTACTTTCTACCATTTCATGGCCTTTCTGCCGTATACCTTGAGAAATTTTGTTTTTATCACTTTCAAGTTTATTATTAAAACGTGATTGTTAACATGGTTGTATGACCCATTTTCTAGCGGCTCAGAAATTTTACCATATACTGCTTTCAAGTGTGTAGTAAAACTTTCAAGTGTTTTGTGGATATTAAATGTGTATTTATTAGTGTTATGGGCACAAAATAATTTATAAGGGCAAAGCAATTTAAGCACTATTGAATATACAGGAGGATCTGCAGGAAAGTGGATTACTGGGAAGGCTGACAGCAGTCCATTTAACATAAGTGAGCTGATAGTAGTTTGGTGAATAGTTGATAAGAGAAAGATAAAAGTTTCTAATCTTCACACTGATATCAACACAGGTAAAGAGACGCTTTATGAATGACTATAGAGCACATTCCAAGTTGAGCTTTGTAGAACCCCATCCTATGCACAGGACCATATCCATCCTGTTTTTTCTCTCATAAGAGAGAATGTATTGTAAACTATGCATGTATTGTAAACTATAGTTTTAAAAAAATCTGTCAACTGTATTCTCATTTTTCTATAAGAAAACTTTGAAGGTACGCTGTAAATAACAATTGTTTGTCATATCTATGACCCTTCACTTTTGGGAAATGGAAATAGTTTTAAGTTAAAAAAGAAAAATAATGGTAAACAAATGACTGTGTGCAAAATTCTCAATTCAGGTAAAAGTTATATATCATTACATTTCATAAAAGGATATTTCTACTTGCATTTGGATTTTGTTGGGACAAACATTAATCCAAATATACATTAATTCAAATAAACTATATTTGTCCCAGAGGAGTTTATACTGTGGTAGCACTGGCTATACATTTTGCTGACTCTAAAGGACTAAAGAAAATCAAGAATCTTGTGATAATGTTATTTCTTTTTATTTATCAAACTAATGTCTCCTAGGCTTATTTTTCCCTGATATTCGTCTCTCATTTGACTTCAAAACTTCTAATTCACCTGATTGAAGCACTCCTAGGAAATCAGAAAAGATAAAGTTTAAATAGCAGAAGAAAAACAAAGCAATAAACATATTTTTCTGAGTTATCCTAAAGAAAATTAGAATAAATCGTAGTGTCATTTTATCAATGAATATTCTATTCACAATTATTCTTCTTTAGAAAATAAATACAATTTAAAGACAAATGAAAAAATAAAGTAAAAAAGAAAAGAGTTTATAAAATTATTTCAATGTAGACATGGATTTCTTTGATAGAAACTATATGAAAATAGAAACAATCTTTATTTTCTTGTTGTCAGTAAAATTCAAATGAAATCTGCATTAGGATACAATTTTATGAGAATTTCCTCAACAAAAAAGTACAGTCTACCACAATCTTACTTTATTAAATCTATTCAAGTAAACATTTTAAGAAAATCAAAAATATGTGCTAATAGTAACACAATGTAACTTGTTTAAAACATATTGTGAAACCACATTCTTTCAAAACAAGGAAAAAACTATCTCTCTGAAAAATGAAATTTATAATGATATAACCATTCTAGTAGTTTTCAAATAGAAATTACCTGAAATTCAAATTCAAATTTATTTTCATAGAATTGTTATTTCTCCCTTTTCTTCTGTTTTTATCCTTATCCTTGATAAGATATATGAGAGATAAAATGAGACAATAGAGAACATTTAGGAAAGGAAAGTAAATCTGAAAACATCTGTCTTTGAGCAGAAGATTTATATTTTAAAAAGGAAAAAAGATGAAATCATAAACCATGTTTTCATGAATATAGGTTAAAAAAATCCATTTGAGGGGCCGGGCGCGGTGGCTCATGCCTGTAATCCCAGCACTTTGGGAGGCCAAGGCAGGTGGATCCCAAGGTCAAGAGATCGAGACCATCCTGGTCAACATGGTGAAACCCCGTCTCTACTAAAAATACAGAAAATTAGCTGGGCATGGTGGCGCTTGCCTGTAATCCCAGCTACTCAGGAGGCTGAGACAGGAGAATTGCCTGAACCCAGCAGGCAGAGGATGCGGTGAGCCAAGATCGCGCCATGGCACTCCAGCCTGGGTAACAAGATTGAAACTCTGTCTCAAAAAATAAATAAATAAATAAATCCATTTGAATAAATGTAGGGCCATAAATATAGTTGGTTTCCTAATGAAGGTTTGTATTGTTGCCATGTAAGCCACACAAACTGGCATCATCATCTTATTTTTTACAATTTCGATGATTAAGTGTGAAAAGTATCATGTGGAGGCTCATTGTGTGTTGAGTACACCAGCTACAGTAAGGGAACCTAACATTATCGTGCTATGTTGGATCCCAAAACTAGATGAGAAAAAGTAAAGAAATATTTGTTGAACAGTATAAGCCCTGAATCGTTACTTCTTTAGAGTTTAAGGTAAACACATTTTGAATGTTTTTATTATCAGTTTCCAGGTCATTTTGCACCAGGTGTTTGGTTGGTTGATTGATTAGTCATGAAAAATAGTCATATGAAAACTAAGTAGGATTAATGTGCAATGATGGATAATGTTCTCATTGTGTCTTTAAAAGGATATCTTTTTTTTTTTTTTTTCTTGAGGAGTCTTGCTCTGTCACCCACACTAGAGTGCAGTGGCGCTAACTCAGCTCATTGCAACCTCCGACTCCCGGGTTGAAGCGATTCTCCAGCCTCAGCCTCCAAGTAGCTGCAATTACAGGTGCCCACCACCACACCTGGCTATAATTTTTGTATTTTTAGTAGAGATAGGATTTCACCACGTTGGCCATGTTAGTCTCCTACTCCTGACCTCAAGTGATCCGCCCACCTCAGCCTCCCAAAATGCTGGATTACAGGCCTGAGCCACCACAGCCGACCTAAAACTGTCATATTTTATTTATTTCTGTAAATTAACACAACTTCTTCTTGCTAGTTTTAGAGTTACAACTTCTTAAATTATATTAAAATGTATGTATATAAAAATGAGAAATAAAATTATAAGAATTTTGGTAGAATAGCAGATTTATTGACATTTTTCTCTAAAGTTTTATATTTTATCATCGTAATGTAAATGACTTTTAATATTAAGCATTTAGATTCATTATTAATATTACTATAATGCATTTTAGTGTAAAACAGGTAAATAAACTTCCTTCTCCTAAATATGTGTATGGTTTATTTACAGAGTGATGATAAGTATACACATAAGTCAAATAGAAAGGATAGCTTTACAGTTCTATCTTGAATAATATACTGATTATAAATCTCTGTAATATATAAATAACAGAATTCAGTTCATATATTATCTAGTAATGAAATTTAGTGCAACAGTTTAATGAACCAGTACCATTGTCTATTGGTTAGGGAAGATGAAGTCAGCTTTAAACATTGGTATGTTTCTGACATCCGATAAAAGTTTGTATACTCTAATCCACAATATATTCACAGATTTATTTTGACTGTATGGATAGAAATATATGTAATGATGATTTTCTTTCACTCCAAATTTTTACATATTTTTTAATTTATAAAAGTTATTTAAAAGATAACATTTTAATTACCAATTTGAAAGACCAAACAGAGAATGCTAGGTTCTAGCCAGTCTTCTTTTGAATTAACACATTGTAGAACTAGAGAATCTTAGAATAAGGGTGGTTGAATAATAATTAAAAATGAAATATTTTGAAATAAAATATAATCATGTTTTCAAGGCTGAGTTAGAATTGTGCTGAAGATAGTCCTTGGGTTCACTCTGCAGCCAAAATTAGCTATTTGGCTTTGGCTTCATTCTATGCTTACAAAAGTCTAAGTAGCCAAATGCCTACTTCTGACATCCTGGATTTACTGCTTAATCAATGATCCTGTGCTTGCATAGATTACTGTTGTATGTAATCATAACAATAAACTAGCAACATGAACAATGTGTGTCATGCAGAATTATTACCATCTCAGTATTCCCTTTCAAATATAAAAAAGTTTTCAATTTGTAAGTTGGAGGAAAAATCTTATTTGGTATTTTATGTGCTGGAATTTCATTACTGAATTGAAGTTTAAATGTACATTTCTTACTGCGGATATAAAACTCTGCCAAGCTACCTGTGAATGCTGTTAATTTTATGTTTAAAAAACTAGTAAATAATTACATATATAGAGAAATATTGAGTATGTTGAGTTAGTTTTTGAAAAAAATATAAAAAAGATTGAGATTAAATTCTATCATAACTTTAATTCTTGTGGAATTATTTTGTGAACTAGAATGTATAACATTAAAATGAATTTAATTCCATTTAGCTCATGTCTTTTTTTTTTTAAGTTTTATTTGGCAATTGTTTACATCTTGAGAGGAAGACTTAAAAGCAGTGTGTCAACTTTGCCACATTAAAATATCATAAGAAAAACCAAAAATTACTGATTTTGTAATAGAATATCAAACTTTTAAAATGCAACCTATGAAAAATTTAGTAGTAAAATGATAGTATTAATTTTTGTTAATATCAGATATGTTCATATATTCCAGAAGTTTCATTGTGTGAAGTCATTTATCTTTGGTCTCAGTTTAATACCTATTTCTGCTCCCTGTAATTTGGCATTTGGCACAGTGTGTATTTAATTCACCTCTCATTTGACAGGTATTTTATTTGTTTATTTTTATTTTTTATTGCATTTTAGGTTTTGGGGTACATGTGAAGAACATGCAAAATTGTTGCATAGGTACACACATGGCAGTGCGTTTGCTGCCTTCCTCCCCATCACCTATATCTGGCATTTCTCCCTATGTTATCCCTCCGCATCTCCCCATTCCTCACTGTCCCTCCCCTATTCTCTCCAACAGACCCCAGTGTGTAGTGCTCCCCTCCCTGTGTCCATGTGTTCTCATTGTTCAACACCCACCTATGAGTGAGAACTTGCAGTGTGTGATTTTTTGTTCTTGTGTCAGTTTGCTGAGAATGATGGTTTCCAGGTTCA